GGCGACGGCAGGATGTTTCTGACTCATATCTTCCTGACGAGAGAAAGCTAAGCTCTTTCCCTAATGCCTGTATATCCCTTCCAGAAAAGTGTCACAGCCCTTCCGGCCTCACAAATGGCTGTCCCCTCAGGGCTCTGATGCTCTCCCACATGGGGCGCCCTAGCCCTGACTCTTCAGGTTCAGGCTGATCTGCAAGAGGTCCCTGATGGCACGGGGCTGGGGGAGGGCCCGTGAACTACCCGTCACCAGCTTCTTCTGCCACAGGCTCCTCCCCGGCGCAGGTGGTCACCTGCTTAACACGCGACAGCTATCTGACTCACTGCTTCCTCCAGCACCTCATGGCCGTGCTCTCCTCACTAGAACGCACACCCTCCCCTGAGCCTGTCGACAAGGACTTCTACTCGGAATTTGGGAACAAGACCACAGGTACCCTGGCCCAGCTCAGGCTGTTCCATCCCCTTCTCCCCCACCCTCAAGGCCGCAGCAGGCCCGGAGCTCCTCTCTGCCTCTTTTTCTTTTGTCCGGCTCATTCAGCTAGGGTTTTCCCTAGCGGAGTCCCATGTCAGCCATCTCTCTGCCCTCTGGCAGTTGTTGCAGCTCAAGGGTGTTCTGGCTGGTGAGTCCCTGCCTGGCTTAGGGTTTGGAACACTCTTGAGACCCAGCAGCTTTTACTGTCTCTGGGTGGCAGGAGCTGCTGGCACGCCCTGGTGCCCCCACACCAGGCCCACACTCCAGCCCTGGTGGGCTTCTCTCTCTGCAGGAAAGATGGAGAACTATGAGCTGATCCACTCAAGCCGGGTGAAATTCACCTACCCTAGTGAAGAGGAGGTCGGCGACCTGACATTCACCGTGGCGCAGAGAATGGCCGAGCCAGAGAAGGCTCCTGCCCTCAGCATCCTTCTATACCTACAGGCCTTCCAGGTGGGGTCCCCACAAACCGGACGCAGCAAGGGCATACTGCGTCCCAAAACGCTCCTGCTCACCAGTGCCGAGATCTTCCTCCTGGATGAGGACTTTGTCCACTACCCGCTGCCTGAGTTTGCCAAAGAGCCCCCACAGAGGGACCGCTACCGTCTGGACGATGGCCGCCGTGTCCGGGACCTGGACCGTGTTCTCATGGGCTACCAGCCCTACCCACAGGCCCTCACTCTCGTTTTCGATGATGTGCAAGGCCATGACCTCATGGGCAATGTCACCCTGGATCACTTTGGGGAGGTGCCAGGTGACCCAGCCCAAGCTGGCCAGGGCCGGGAGGTTCAGTGGCAGGTGTTTGTCCCCAGTGCTGAGAGCCGAGAGAAGCTCATCTCACTGCTGGCTCGCCAATGGGAGGCACTGTGTGGTCGTGAGCTCCCCGTAGAGCTCACTGGCTAGGCTGCTGCCCCCACCCCCTGCCACGCCTCGCCTGGTCCATGTAGGGCAGGACGGAAGCAGACTTTCTTTTCAAAGTGTTTTCTCTTCCCTTTGATTCCTTCATTTGACTGTTCTCCCCAGAACGTGAACGTGTGTTGAGTTACTGCTCCCTAATGCTGGGTGTGCCCCTGCAGACTCCACCAGGCTGTGCCTGCCCAAGTCTCTGGTGTTCTGCCACCAGCCCTTGTGTCTTGTTATGGGACTGTTGTTGACACGTGGCGCTGTGGGTCTGGTTTACTTTGACTATTTCCTGAACCGTCAGTCTTGTTGCTATTACTGTCGTTGTGGGTGTTCGCTGCTAATCATGAAGCTGGTAGTAAAACGCACATTGCAAGTTCCTGTCCTGTGCACATTTCCAAAGTGGAGCTCTCTCCTGGGAGAGCCTCTTGGGGTGGGTGTCCCCCGTGCCTTGGGGCTGACTGAGACATTTGGGGACAGAGGACCTAGCGCTGCCAGTGCCCAGTAGGGCTCTGTTGCCTATTTTCTCTATTCCAATAAAGCAGAGTTTGACACAGGCTGAGGCTTTCATTTCAAGGGTCCTGGAGCAAAGCCTTAACCTGAGGGAAAGAAGAAGTGCAGGAAGCCCGCAGAGGCTTCTCCCCAGGGCAGGTGCTGATCAAGTGACCCTGGGATTATGGGGCAATGTGGGAGCCCGTTTTCAAACCATGAGCTTTGGGGCACAGCCGTCCTCTGCTCAATGTCTCCTGCAGATCAGGGCATCGTGCCTGTGTCCTACCCACCAGAAGCAGTCTCCTACTGTGCGTCCTGGGGGGTTGACCAAGGGCAGAAGCCCATGCCCATCACCTCTATTTCATGTCCACAGAGAGATGGGGTTACCTGGACCCTTCAGGATGAATCCCATTCACCTCTCCTGACCCTCAGGAGCCTTAGTCCCTAAGTCTTCAGGGCTTCTGTGGGCCAGGCAGGGCTAGGTAAGGAAAGGTGAGTGGGGGTGACCAACCCTGCCCCCCAGGCCTGCTGCTATTCCCGCTTTCTTCCGTACAGGAAGGGCCACCATCTGAGGGGTCACGGGGCACCAAGGGGAGGGTCTGCCCCTCTAACCCCCAGCAATGATCACTCAGTCCTGACAGTGACTGAGTCACCACATGGTTCTGGGGATCAAACCCAGGCCTCTAGAATGCACATATGTACTCAATATCTCTTTGGCTCAGACTTTTTTCTTTTGGTTTTGGGCTATACCTAGCTGCACTTAGGGCTTACTCTGTGATTCTGTTCTCAGGGATCATTTATTCCTGGCGATGTTCAGTGGGCTATACGCAGTGCCCAGGGAACTAACCAGGATCAGTCATATGTGATGCAAGTGCCTTACCCCCAAGTCATCTTTCTGACTCCCCAAACTTTTTTTTTTTTTTTTTGGAAAGAGGATGAAACCCAGACTTCACACATGCAAGGCAGGTACTTTACCTACGCCTGAGCTATCTTCCCGGGCAGATCTGAGCTAGCCCAGGGCCCGTCAGACTGGTGGGAAGAGGAGCAGGGACTTGCTGAGAAGAGGAAGTCATATAGACGCTTCCTGTTCCCTGCTTTTTACAAATGGTCACTGCTCTCTCCATTTCAGTTACGACATCTGTTGACAAGGTAGTCATCATTGTCAGTCCATCAAGCCTAGGCCTGGTGCACAGGGTACACTGCCCACACTGCTGACCCCATCCTCCATAGAATGATGTAACAGTTGCCCCAGCATGGTCCATGAAAACTGGATGGAGACAGAGGAAGAAGCCAGATTCTGGACAGGCAGGAGGCTTGGGATTGGAATAACTCCATTTACAGTTAAATGACCTTACACCAGTTACCTAGCTTCCTGAGCTTCAGTTTCCCTACCAGTAACAGACAGTAGAAGTTATCACCACACAACCTTTTTTCCATCCCCAAATTTGTGTTGAGGGACTAGAGAGAGAGAACAGGGGGTTAGGCACTTGCCTTAGACACAGGCAGCGTCTTTTGATCTCTGGCACCACACATGATCTCCATGTCCCACCAGGAGTGATCTCTGAACACAAGCCACGAGTAAGCCCTGATCACTGCCTAGTATGACCCCAAAACTAAGTACTGTGTTGAGCATCTACTCTGACTAGCCACTGTCCCATAGCTGACATGCCAGCAGGGAACAGAAAGGAAATGGGTGTCAGCTGATGGCAGTGCTACCAGATGACAGCTGGCAACATTTGCCCTGAGCCTAGAGCCCAGTGTCCTGAGAGAGGATCTGGGTGGTAGCATTGCCTAAGTGTCTGGCCTAGCTAGGGACATGCTGTCCATCTTGGGGGAGGAGCGCAGAGCAGGTGTATGGCGGTGGGCTGGCACAGTGACAGCAGTGGGTGTAGGAACCGGGTGTAAGGCTGAGTCAGGAGAGGACGGTTACTGCAGCAATTAGAGAAAGGAGGTGCGGGGACTCAGAGTAAGGTAGTGAAGGTGGCACCCACAGGACCAGCAGAGGAGTGGCGGGCAGCTGAGAAGTGCTGTCTATCCTCTGAGTGGAGCCTGGCAAGAGTGGGCACTCTCAGCACTGGAATGCTCCAGGTGGACAGACCATTCTGTCTTGGGTACCCAACCCCCAGCCTCAGAGACTGAAAGAAAAAACTGACTCAGGACTGCCCAACCTCCAGAACGCCAAGAAGAGAGGGAGAGAGCCCCCCAGACAGTGCAGGCTATGCCTGCAGGAGGCCTGGGTTTAATTTCCTGCACTGCTGGTCCCTGAGCATCACCACCAGAAGTGACTCCCAAGCACAGAACCCGGATTAAGCTCTCAGCACCACTTGGTGCAACCTCAAAAATGAAAACAACAACCTAGAGAGTGGGGCCTGATCAATAGCGCAGCAAATAGGGTACTTGCCTGGCACGCTGCCAACCTGGCTAGGGTCATTCCCCTGCACCCATATGGTCCCTCTAGCCCTCCAGCAGTGATCCCTGAATGCAGAGCCAGGAGTAAGCCCTAAACAACGCAGGATGTGGCCCCCAAAACCAAAATAAGTAAAACAAACCCAGAACCTCCGAGACAATGAATGAGACAGATTTCACTCACGGCTGTCCAAAACCCAGTCTTCAGAACTCCGCCTCTGAATGGGATGAATGAGTGCTGGTCACAAACCCTTTTTTGTCTGTTTGTTTGTTTGTTTTTGGTTTGGGGGCCACACCCAGTTGGTGCTCAGGACTTATTTCTGGCTCTGCACTCAGGAATCACTCCAGGCGGGACTGAGGGACTCAGGAGATGCTGGGATCTAACCCAGGCCGTCTGTGTGCAAGGCAAGCTCCCTTCCCAGCTATAGTCTCTCTGGCCCTGGATTTCCATTTGATCTTGCATTGTATCCTCAATCTGAGACCCCTGGTGGGTAGGTAGTTTCTGAGCCTGAGAACCCAGAAAAGGGTCCCTGGTAGGGAAAGCCCCCACGAGGGCCCAGGCCATCCACGTGGGGGTCAGCAGCCAGCACCTTCCCTTCCGCCTGCAGACTGCTGATAGGCAGGAGGAAATCCTGGCGGGTTCCTGTGGGGGTGAACTGGCGGGGCCTCCGGTCTGCTTTTAAAGCAACTGCCCACCCCGTCCCGCCTGCCTACGCTGTGTCTGCCTCCCAGAGCTGGTTCCCCAAACCAGCCCCGACTGCCCGGACACTGCGCCTGCCAGCCACCAGCCATGGCAGGCCGTCGGGGCCTCTTGCTCTGCGTCCTGGCCTTCTGCCTGGCAGGCCCCAGCTTTGTCAGAAGCCAGAAGGTGAGTGTGGCCAGATTAGGGGGATGTGGCGCCCAGGCCCAGTGCGTGCACAGATTGGGCTCAGGTGTGGGGACCTGAGGGCAGCTGGCCTGCCTGGCCTTGTATGAGTAGGACCGGGGTGCTTCCCGCTCATCCCCACAGGCCCTGGCCTGTCTTGGCTACCTAGAGTGGCAGGGCTGTGTCGCTGTGCCCTCGATCTGCTGATGACCAGCCCCACAGTGTGGACAGCTGCCTGGGCTGTTCCAGCCCGAGGGTGAGGGGCACAGAGCCCATTCTCCTCCCCTCCCTGCCCTGGTGGGAACCTGGCCCTCCGGGGCCAGTAGGGCTGTGATTGTCTTGGTGCTGGACACATATTCACAGGAAGCCTGTGTGTATACGTGTGTCTGTGACACGTGTGTCACTGGGTATCTGGAGACAGTGGTAGCCCTGGGCATAGCCGGGCACTGGCCCTTGAGTCCCCCAAGTCCCTGGGCCCTGGCTCTTGTGATTCTCCCTAAGGGAACCCGGGCTCAGGGAGGAAAAGGCGGTCAGGCCTGAGTACCGCCAGGCCACATGGGGGCGGGGACAGACAGGGTCCCCAGGGGCATCTGTGGAGGGCTGCAGGTCCTGTCCCCTCTTTCCCAGAATTGTGGAGCTAGATTCACCTGTCAGGAGGCTGCCTCCCCTCAGGCCTGTGGCTGCCCCCATTCCTGCCTGATTACAGAAAGGACCAACTTCGAATTCCTCTTTCTGACAGACCAAGACGGGGCCCAGGGTCCTGGCACCCTCCTGCTCTCTCCCACTCTGCGTGAGCAGGAGTGGGCCAGGGCTTCCTGCCATGAGACCCACCTGGGGTGGGTGGAGGCAGGTCTTAGACTGCAAAGCTAAGCCTCATGGTGGGTGCCAGCGCTTCCCTGCCTCTGTTACCCCGTACGGATAACACAAAAGAATTTCACAGGCCTCGCCACCTCCTCATATTCGAGGGTCCGTGAGGGGCTTTAGGCTGCTATTTTCCCCTTGTCTGCGACTGAAAGCTCTGACCACCTCAGTCTGTGCTGGTCAGGGAAGGGTTCCAGGCTCCTGGCCTATGGACATGCTGGCAGCCCCCACCACACTCCCTCAGCCCCTCGGCCTCTCACCTTCCCTGCACCTCAATATCTATTAGCGAACAGACTCCAAAGGAGGGGACCGACCCGTGGGCCACACAGCTAATGAGGGACAGCCACAGGCCTCACAGACCAGGAAGGCTTCCTGGAGGTGGCTCTTAGCCTTTCAACAGCCCTTTCCCAAAGTCTCCGCATGTGCTAGGCATGTGCTGGGTGGGGGGGCATTGCCCCCCCCCCTCGGCCCCTGCTCTAACCTAAAGCAGGAGGAAACGGGAGGCTGAGGTTGGGGGGACCCTCCCTCCCAGAGGAGTTCGGGTTTGGGGGGCCTCCCTCCACCTGGAGCCCAGGCTGTGCTTTGGGAGATTCTTCCTCCGTCTCTCATGGCTTACCACCTCATCCTTCCACTTCTCCAGCAGCTGTGCCAAACTCAGGCAGGGAGGGGAGCAGGAGGGGCTGCACTGTCACGCTCAGGGGTTCCCAGGAGCCTGGGAAGGAGGGACTCAGATTCAGCACTCAGTCAGGTTTCAGCTGCAGGCAGAGGGATCAGGCCTGCCTCCATGCAGTTCCAGAGGGAAGGGGAATTTGGGGCCTGCCTTTCAAAAAAGCACTTACTAACACAGTAGCCTCCCCCCGAGCTGGACACACAGTCAGCTGCCACCAGCAAACCCTACTCTGCCAAGCGAGCGAGCATCTGGATTGTGCTGTCTCTACCCCGAGTCCCTCATCCCAGAAGTGTCCCAGGTGTGTCAGGGGGTCTTTCCTTCGACAACTGGCCCTAGGGCCCCAGGTGGCCACTGTACCCGATTGACCAGGTGGCACTCAGGGGAGCTCACTGCCCAGGATGCCTTTTGGCCTGAGCCAGCAGTGCTCCCGCCGCAAATTTCCCAACTTCCTAGAGGTTCCCTGGCTCAGCAAAGATGGAACCGGAGGGCAGATCGGGCGACCGCAACACCCAACGCCGCGCAGCATGAAGCTGAGGCCGCGCAAAGCAACTTCCCTCTTTGCAGACCGCAAAAAGTCATGAGCGGAAAAGAGCAAATCACAGCACAGTGGCCCCGGGCTCCCGTGCTCAGCTGAAGCCCAGCCTGGGCACTCTTCTCCTTTCCTCTGGCTTTGAGGGGTACACAGCTGCAGTCCGTCCTTGGAAAGAGATGTTGCTGGCTCCCTCTCTCTCTCTCTCTCTCTCCCTCTCTCTCTCTCTCTCTCTCGACCACATTGTGCTCAGCAGTTTTCAGACACAAACATCTTAAGCTTTTCCAGCCCCTCAAATCTCTCTCCCATCAGTCTTTGCTCCTCCCACTTGGAAGCAGGACCAGGAACTTTCATCCTTGAGGGGCCCCACAAATGCCTGATGCTGGGCTTGGGGAACTTGTGGGCATCAGCACTCAGGCCTCCAGCAACAGGATGTCCTTGGTCCCTTCCCCACTCCCCCCGCAGTGACCCTGTGGTGCGGGAGTGAGGAACGAGGGGTCAGGGGTCAGACTCAGAGTCTCATGCATGCGAAGCCCACACTCTGCCTGTTGCATCCCCCCCCCCCCCCCCGACCGCAGCCCTCCTCTTTTCTTTATTTTTATTATTTGGCTGTTGTTTTGGGGGCTACACTCAGCTCAGGGATCACTCCTAGCAGTGCTCAGGGGTTTATATGAGGTGCCAGGGCAAGCTCCCTGTCCACTGTCCTCCCTCTGGCCTCTCTTCTTTATTTTTAAGTAGAAGCCAGAGTGAAGACACTTGCCAGGTTCTGGTCCCTGGTGGCAGCTTTCTGGGGCTCAGGCTCCTCGTCTGAAATGGGCTGAAACAAAATGGTGTATTCTCGTGGCATCAAAGGTATAGACTAAGGCTGCAGGGCATGCTTTTGAGACCCTGGTCAAGGACTTGGCACACATTGATAGTAACAAGCTGGTGATGGGGCCCCACATGTCCACTGAAGAGCTGATGCCTGAGAGGGTCCGTGAGGACAGGGCCAGGTGCAGGCCTGACTTGGAGTTCTGTGGGGAGGAACTGGGAGGTGCAGGCCTAAGAGCCTTGTGTGGTGGAACTGGTTCAAGCCTGACTCGGAGCCCCGTTGCGGGGAACTGGGAGGTACAGGCCTGACTCGAAGCCCCACACCACAGGTGCACTCCAAACGCTGTGACGTAAAGACCAAGTTTGTCACCCACACACCTTGCACTGCATGTCCTGCCATCAAGAAGCGGGTATGTCCCCTTGGCTGGATTCGGCAGTTTCCGATGAAGATCTCCCAGGATTGTCGGTGAGACCCCCAAGCCCCCTGCTGCCCTTCCTGGAGGGTTCGGGGGCGGCTGGGACATAACCTACAGGCCTGGGGGTTGAGGACCTTCTCTCACCTGCCAGCCCCTTGGCAAGAAGGTAGAGGGCTGCGGTGGTCGGGGAGCCCCTAGGTCAGGCCTCGTGCAGGCCCTTGACTGGGAGCAGGAGGCTGGGGACCCTGCCCAGCGCCCTGCCTGTCCTCTGCCCACAGTTACGAAGTGCAGCTGGGGGACGCACTGGTGGCCATGAGCGGCTGCAGCATTGAGTGCTGGAAGGACGTGGTACAGAAGGCCTGCTGCCCCGGCTACTGGGGGTCCCAGTGCTACGGTATGGGGTCCTGGAGCTATAGTATGAGGGTATGGGGGTTCCAGGGCTATGGTAGAGGGGTCTCAGTCATGTTCCTTGCATCCCCCCTAAGTCCCCTTTAGCACCGCCTGTTTCCTCTAATGGGTTGTTCATGAAGTTCTTTCTGGTGGCTGCTTTGGGGAAGAGGCTGAGCCTGGGGATCCCCAGAGCTTCTGGGGTCAGGGGTGACTGAGTGCTTTTGTGGCAGAGCTAAGTTATGGGGGGTTTCACAGAGTGTCCTGGGGGTGCCAAGAACCCCTGCAGCGGTCACGGGACCTGCCTGGACGGGCTAGACAGAAATGGGACCTGCGTGTGCCAGGTAAGGGCCACGTGGGTGGGTGTAGGGTGCTGCGCGGGGCAACGCTCACGCGGTACACCCCCTGCCAGGAGAACTTCGGGGGAACAGCCTGCCAACAGTGCCGGGACCCCAACCGCTTCGGGCCTGACTGCCAGTCAGGTGAGCGCTGACAAGGCATGGGGCGGGCCAGCAACCAGGGTGGGGGGCCACGGGGATCCAGGCCTGCAGTCAGCCTCCACCAGCCCCACCAGCCCCTCAGCCTTACACCCCCACCTAAGGGACCCCCAGAATCTGATTATGCTGTTGGGGAGACTTCACCAAACCCCATTTTGGGCCAGAACCTGGGTTCTCACACCCGCAGATCAGCTCTACTCTCGTGGGCTGGGCTTCCGGGCCGAGCTTGGAAGTTCAGTGGGCAGGGCCCTATGTCTGGGGGTGAGAGGTGTCTCATCTGTCCCTGGTGTCCCCCAGAGTGCAGCTGCGTGCATGGACTGTGCAGCCACGGGCCACTGGGGGACGGCTCCTGCCGCTGCTTCGCCGGCTACACCGGCCCCCGCTGTGACCAAGGTGAGGGGGTCTCTGGGGCCAGAGTCAGAGGCGGCGCTGATTGCTTCTAAGCTGGCCGATGGGAAGAGGGGGGAGGCCTGGCCAGGACCACCCAGCACAGGGGGGCATCTTCCCTCTGTGGGGGACGGTGCTTCCTCCCAGACAGGTCTCTCTTGTCCCCTCAGAGTTGCCTGTGTGCCAGGCCCTGCATTGTCCCCAGAACTCAGAGTGTTCTGCCGAGTCGCCCACCTGCAGCTGTCTGCCTGGTCACGCCCGGGCGGGGTCGGAATGCCGAGGTGAGGGGTCCGTTCCAGGGCGGGGGTGTGAGAAAAATGGGGTTATGGAGAGAGGGCTGGGCTGGAGCACAAGCTTCGCTGTGCAGAAAGCCTGGCTTTCATCACAAGGTCCCCAAGCACAGGGCAGGTGTGGCCCGACCGGTCCCCAAAAGTAACCAAAAATACAAGGAAAGAGAGAGGAAAGAGGCTCTCCCCAGGCCCAGAGGAGCCTGCTCACACCAATTTGGGGCCACCCGGTGGGAGTGGTGGAGAAAAAGGGGCTCCCAGCTTCGGGCCCTGGAGTCCTGTCTCCTCTCTGTCCTGACAGCCCTTGACCCCTGCTGGCCGTCGCCCTGCTCCCCTCTGGCCAAGTGCCAGGTGAACCCGCAGGGGCAGGCGCAGTGTCACTGCCCTGAGAACTACCACGGCGATGGGAGGGTGTGTCTGCCCCACGACCCGTGCACCGTCAACTACGGAGGCTGCCCCAGTGACTCCACCCTGTGCCTGTACCAGAAGCCGGGCAAGGTTAGCCACCCGTGGCCCCTCGGAACTGGCCAGGGGAGAGGGCGTGCACCCCGGGGTGACAGAGCTCTGGGCCGGGCCAGGCTGCCCAGGTGACATGCCCTCTGCCCGCCGGGCCAGGCCTCCTGCGCCTGTAGGCCCGGCCTGCTCAGCGTGGCCCGGAACGCCTCTGCCGGCTGCTTCGCCTCCTGCTCCCCCCACACCTGCGACCGCTCAGCCACCTGCCAGGTGACCCCTGATGGGAAGACCAGGTGGGCACAGGGGCCTTGGGGTGGGGCCTGGGAGGGAGCAGGTAGGGGGGCTGGGCAGAGGCGGAGTGCACCCCGCACCGCCCCCCCCGCCTCCCGCATATCCTCTGCTGGGGGTGGGGGGCCTACGGGATGGATGGGTGCGGGACGAACTCACTCCTGCCCTGTACCCTCAGCTGCGTGTGCAAGGAGGGGGAGGTGGGGGACGGGCGAGCCTGCTACGGACACCTGCTCCACGAGGTGCAGAAGACCGGCCAGATCGGCGTGGTGTTCCTGCGTCTGAGGCTCGCCTTCACCATGCTGGGTGTGTGCCCCCGCCGTGACCCACACTGGCACCCCACTGCTGCCAGGAGGGAGGGGCAGGAGTAGGCTGGGCAGTGCGGGAGGAAGTCAGGAGGGAGCCCTCCAGGACCCTAGACCCAGTGCCCAGTCTAAACTCCCCCAAACCTTGGGCTAAGGTCTGAGTGTCTGACGCCCCCCCTCCACTGCCCCCCGCCAGACCAGGGCTGTCGGGAGCTCCTCACCACATCGGGCCCCTTCACCGTCCTCGTGCCGTCCGCCTATGACCCCTCCAGGAGTATGAATGTGAGACACCCCTCCCCCCGCCACGGCCCCGGCTCTCCCCTCCTCTCCCTGCTGGGCTTCAGGTCCCGAGAGAGCCCTGGGTCACCACCACCAGGGATCGGCCTTGTCCTCTTCACCGATTCGGTGAGCTGGCCGAGGATGATGTTGGTGACCAGTGCCCCGGGTCCCTGTGCCTGCAGGCCACCTTGGCACAGCAGCTCTGCCGGCAGCACGTGATCGCAGGACAGCACCTGCTGGAGGACTTGGGGACTCAGCACACACGCAGGTGGTGGACGCTGTCGGGGCAGCAGATCACCGTGACCTTCAACCGCTTCCTGGTAAGGGGGTAGCCTGTAGGGGGCAGGGCGGGCAGGGCGGGCGAGCAGTGAGTGTGAGTGCCCCCCGCAGCAGAAGCACACGTACATGTACAGCGACCAGCCACAGCAGACCTTCACCGTCCAGAACGCCAACCACCCCGCCGCCAATGGCGTCTTCCACCTGGTCACCCCTCTGCGGTGGCAGCCTCCGCCCACACTCCTGCAGGACCCCAGGGTGAGTCAGCATGCCCCCTCTCCCCACCCCAGGCCCACAGGGGACCTCAGTGAGGGGGGAGGTGAGGGCAGTTCTGGGGCCCCCATTTTCCTCTCTCCCAACAGAGAACCATCGGCCAGATCCTCGCGTCCACGGAGGCCTTCAGCCGGTTTGAGACCATCCTGGAGGTGCGTTGGGGGCCAGGCCTTAGCTTTGCGGCTCATCACAGTGGGGCTCTGCCTCCCTCCCAGGGACCCAGGCCTGGGCAGCACGGCCTGGCCCAGCCTTCTCCTAGGACCCCCATCGTCCAGAGGGTCTGCCTAGCAGGTCCTCTGCATCCCCCTGCCCCGAGTCTGGTGCAGCAGCAGGAAGCAGGGCTAGGAGGTGGGGCCGGCCCTGGCGCAGTCTGAGCTGCTCTTGCCCCACAGAACTGCGGGCTGCCCTCCATCCTGGACGGGCCCGGGCCCTTCACGGTCTTTGTGCCCAGCAACGAGGCCGTGGACAGCCTGCGTGACGGCCGCCTCATCTACCTCTTCACTTCAGTAAGCCCTCCCACAGGGGAGGAGGGGCTGTGGCTGGGGGTCCCGGGGCTTCCCACCCTGGGCCTCCAGCAGCCAACCCTCTCTCCCTGGCCAGGGTCTGTCCAAGCTGCAGGAGCTGGTGAGGTTCCACATCTACAACCATGGCCAGGTGTGTGGTTGTCTCTTCCAGGCCCTGCAGCTGGGCTTCCAGGGGGCGAGGGGGTGGCGTGCGTTGGGGGTGGTCTGCAGGTGTCTTTCTTCCCAAGGGCTCCTTTCCCTCTCTCCCCCGCTCTGGACTGAGAGCAGAGAGAAACAGAGCCCTAGGAAGGGGAAGCCGGAAGGGGAGCGGGGCCCACTGAGGCCGCCCTCTCCTCCACCCCAGCTGACTGTGGACAAGATCATCGCCAAGGGCCGGATCCTCACCATGGCCAACCAGGTCCTGGCAGTGAACGTCTCTGAGGAGGTTAGAGCAGAGAGTGGGGCTGCCTCGGGGTGCAGGGCTCACAGTCGGGGAGCCGGGCTGGAGCACCTTGCAGGGCTCCGGGGAGGAGGCCGGAGCATGTGGGTGAGCTGGGAGGGGCCAGCAGCTCCTCCACAGAGGACAGGGACAGCCCCCTGCACGGCCTCCCCGGGGGCCCTGGGCTGCAGAGGCGCAGCCGGATGGTGGCTCACTGGCCTCGCCGCAGGGGCGCATCCTGCTGGGGCCGGAGGGAGTCCCACTGCAGAAGATGGACATGCTGGCCGCCAATGGCGTGATTCACATGCTGGACGGCGTGCTGCTGCCCCCCACCATCCTGCCCATCCTGCCCAAGCACTGTGACGAGGAGCGGCACCAGATCGTGGAGGTGAGCACCCGTGAGAGCCTGGAGCCCCTGGGTACGGGGCAGCTTTGGGGAGAAGCCCTTGTTCTCCTTCTCTAGTGAGGGGGGAGGGTGCTGGCCATGGCTCAGAGTGGATGCTGGCCCTGCGCAAGCTTGGTGATCTCAGGGTTGGACCTGGAGGGCCACTGGCACCTGCCAGGCAAGAGACGCCCCTTTGGCCTGTGGAGCCCTTTAAAGTCCCACTTTTCCAGCTCAGATAGAGAAGGGACCACCAAGTAAAGGGTGCTTGAAGGGCCTGCTCAGGATGGGAGATGCAAGCTGAAAGTAGATTATACACTGAACATGATGGCCACTCAATACCTCTGTTGCAAACCACAACACCCAAAAGGAGAGAGAGAGCAAAAGGGAATGCCCTGCCACAGAGGTCGAGGGGGCGGGAGGGGGGTATGAGGTGGGGGTGGTAAGGGGGATTCTGGGATCATTGATGGTGGAAAATGGGCACTGGTGGAGGAATGGGTACTTGATCATTGTATAACTGAAATGTAAGCAGGAAAGTTTGTAAGTCTGTAAAAAAAAATTTTTTTTTTAAATAATAAAGTCCCACCTTTCCTCCTACCCTGCTGATCCCCACGGGGCCGCAGCGGTCTCTGAGCACTGTCCCCTTCCTGCCAGGGCTCCTGTGTGGACTGCCAAGCACTGAACACCAGCACGTGCCCACCCAACAGTGTGGCACTGGTGAGCATGTCCTCATCATGAGGGCCAGTGGGTGGCAGCCGGGCGAACATAGGTCATGGTGGGTGGGAGGACAGAACCCCTCAGCCCACCCAGGAGGGATCTACTGGAGGGGGTAGGGGGTGTGGCCCCTTGACCAGCTGTTGGGTGGGAGGCTCAGCTCCATTCCTGCAAACTCACCAGCTCTGTACCCTCAGGACCTCATTCCCAAGGAGTGCGTGTACGTCTACGACCCCATGGGACTCAATGTCCTGAAGAAGGGCTGTGCCCGCCACTGCAACCAGACTGTACTGGTGAGGGTGGGCAGTGGGGTCCTGACTGTGTGTGGAGTTCTGACTGTGTGTGGGGTCCTAACTGTGTGGGGGTCCTGACTACGAGGATCCTGACTGTGTGTGTGGGGTCCTGACTGTGGAGGGTCCTGACTGTGTGTGGAGTCCTGACTGTGTGTGGGGAGTCCTAACTCTGTGGGGGTCCTGACTACGAGGGTTCTGACTGTGTGGGGGGTCCTGAACTGTATGGGGTTCTGACTGTGTGGGGGTCCGACTGTGTGTGGGGTCCTGACTGTGTGTGAGGTCCTGACTGTGTGGAGTCCTGACTGTGTGGGATCCTGAGTGTGGGGGGTCCTGACTGTGCTATGGGGGTCCTGAATGTGTGTGGGGTCCTGACTGTGTTGGCGTCCTGACTGTGAGGGGTCCTGACTGTGCTGTGGGGTCCTGACTGTGTGTGGGGTCCTGACTGTGGAGTCCTGACTACGTGGAGGGGTCCTGACTGTGCTGTGGGGTCCTGACTGTGTGGGGGTCCTGACTGTGTGTCGGGGGGGCTGATTATGCTGTGAATTTGGGGACCCCTGACATAGGGTGAGTGGGGGTGGGACCTGACCATCCGGATAAGGCCGGGATTTACCTGGGACCAAGATTCACTTCTCCAGGATCCCAGCTGGGAACTGCTTTGTGCCCCAGCAAGGAAGAGAGCACCAACCTCCCCCATTCCCGACTCTAGGCTAGGGAGTTGGTCCTGCTGGGTCTCAGTCCCCATTTCTCTTTCTCTTGCAGAAACCCGGCTGCTGCAAAGGGTTCTTCGGGCCAGACTGTGCGCAGTGTCCTGGGGGCTTCTCCAACCCCTGCTACGGCAAAGGCAATGTGAGTCCCTGCCGGCCCGCGGGGAGGGGACAGGGGGAAGGCTGGGCTACTGCCCCAACCACAGCCCCATTATTTTCATTATGAATAATTGAGTTAATACATTTTTTGCATTGATTTTCATAGAGGATGCTAGTTAATAGCTTCCTTTCTGTTCTGTTTGTTGTTTTATTTATTTTTTTGGTTTTGGTTATTGGGTCACATCTGGCAGTGCTCAGGGCTGACTCCTGGCTCTGCACTCAGGAATCACTCCTAGGGGGGCTCAGGGGACCATATGGGGTGCTGGGAACTGAGTCTGGGTTGGCTGCGTGCAAGGCAAGCGTCCTCCCTGCTGTTCTATTGCTCTGGCCCCTGTTAATTGTCTTTGGGCCACACCTAACTCTGGAGTTGGCCCTGGTGGTGCTCAGGCGACCAGGTGGTTCTGGGGATTAAACCGGAGTCCTGTGCCCCGGCCCCTAGAGCCCTCCCCTGGGCCGTGTCTGTTTTTGCCCCTGTGGCACTGTCACTTCAGCACCCTGGCCTTGGCAGCAGCTGGAGTTGGCCAGGTGGAATGAATGACAGCCACGGCCAGCTCTGGGGCCAGTGACCTGCCAGGAGGCTCAGCCTTTGGAGACCTCAGTGGTCTAGAAAAGTCTCTTCTAGGGGGCAGAAGCTCCAAGTGAGCAGGGCAGGGAAGCGGGTACCCCTTTCCGTGGCTGACGCTGCCACTGTCCACCCCAGTGCAGTGACGGAGTGCAAGGCAACGGAGCCTGCCTCTGCTTCCCCGACTTCAAGGGCCTGGCCTGCCACATCTGCGCCAGCCCGAACAAGCACGGCGAGCAGTGCCAGGATGGTGAGCGGGAAATGGGCTCGCAGGGAAGGGGGCGGCCAGAGGAACCGAAGGAGAATTGAGGGCATCTCCTTCACCGGGGCCAGCCCCAGAGATAGCAGGTCTCACAGACGCAGTGGAAGGAGGTGCTCAGAACTTCCTGGGTGGGGGAGCAGGGGCCAAGCCAGAAGGGGTGACTTGGAGCAGAGTGCCCCCCTGAGATGTCCTCTTGCCTTTTGGGACTCTGAAGGCAAACTGAGTCCCAGGGGCCCCAGTCCCAGTGCCCCAACTCTGCTCCAGCTGCCCCCAAGCTCCTAGCCCTGACTCTGTGTCCCTGCAGACTGCGGTTGTGTCCACGGTCTCTGCGACAACCGTCCCGGCAGTGGGGGGGTGTGCCAGCACGGCACATGCGCCCCAGGCTTCAGCGGCCTCTTCTGCAATGAGTCCACACGGAGCTGCGGGTCCTCAGAGCAGGCCCAGAGCTGCCACCCGCAGGCCCGCTGTGTCAGCCAGGAGGGCGTGGACAGGTGAGCACCCCGCCTGCATGCCCCAGACGCCAGACTCACAGACTCCCTGGGACTCACCTGAGACCCCTCCTCCCGCCCCCTCCAGGTGCCTCTGTCTGGATGGTTTTGAGGGCGATGGCTTCTCCTGCACACCCCACAACCCCTGCTCCCTCCCAGACCGCGGTGGCTGCTCCGAGAATGTCAGTCTAGTGCCCCACCCTGTGTCCTCAGCCCGGGTTGGGGGGCGGGGGGGAGTGGCACGTCCTGGCCCGTTGCCCACGGCCCCGAAGCCTTAAGTCCTGTGCTGGTGGCTCTCACAGGCGGAGTGTGTTCCGGGAGCCCCCGGCACCCACAATTGCACCTGCCACAAAGGTTGGACGGGGGACGGCCGCGTCTGTGTCGCCATCGATGAGTGTGAGCTGGACGCACGGGGAGGCTGCCACGCCGACGCTCTCTGCAGCTACGTGGGACCAGGGCAGGTGAGTGGCTGGGGCGGGGGAGCGGCCGGAGCAGGGGAGCAGCCAGGCCTCCCTCCCAGGAGCAGAGTCTCAGCCTGGGCTTGGGAGTCATGACACACAGGAAGTCTGTGGTTCTGTGACGCCGAGTCGCTTGAGCTGGGAGTCACCCGTGCGTGCCTGGCCCGTGCTTGGCTCAGGCATTTGATGGTGAGCAAGGCAGCCACAGACTCCCAACCCAGAAGAGAAAAATCACCAAATTTAAATTTTTTCCTTATTCCCCGCTCCTCACCCCTGCCCTTCTTTTATTCTTTTTTTTTTTTTTTCTGTGCTGCTGTTGTGCTGGCCAAGGATTGCGCACACTTGCTGGGGGCTGCACTCTTTAGTTATTTTATTTTTTCCTTTGGCTTTTGTGGGTCACATCTGGCGATGCTCAGGGGTTACTCCTGGCTCTGCACTCAGGAATTACTCCTGGAGGTGCTCAGGGGACCATATGGGAGGCCGAAGATCGAACCCGGGTCAGCCACATGCAAGTCAAATGCCTCTCTGCTGTAGTATCACTCAGGCCCCTCTTTATTTATTTTGCTTTCAGGTTCACACCCAGTGGTGCTCAGGGATCCCTCCTGACAGGGCTCAGGGACCATATGTGGGGTCAGAGATTGGGTCCTGTAGCTTGTGCACAAAGCAAGAGCCTTCCCTGCTGCTCCGTTCCACCATCCCTGGGGGCTGTACCCTTTATCGAGGTGCCTTCCCACATCCTGGTTGTGGTGCTCCCCGGGAATCACACGTACTTTGCCTGAGTGTATGTGCGCGTGTGCGCGCGAGGGGACGCGCACGTGCACACACCCCTGGCTGCCTGCAGCAGAAATTGCTCACTGCCCCAGGGATGGCGAAAAGCTGAGTTGCCGGATCACTGTACTCAGCACAGGTGCCAGCCCTGGGTACTGAATACGCATCTGCATGCTGGCCCGGTGGGCATGCCTGCACCCCTAGCACCATGGTCTTTAGACTTCTGGGAATCCAGGTCTGAAAAAAATCCAGGTCTGAAAACCCTTGGACAGGACAACAGCAGCAGGAGAAAAACAAAACAACAACAACAACAACAACAAAAACAGGGGGTGTGGGTTGTAAGTGAGTACATAGGGAGGGGTGTGGAGAGGGGAAAATTAATTCCCGGACTCCAGGAGCAGGATCTCAGGCCCAGAGCCTCCTATGGGAAGCATGTCAGGTCTAATGAGCCTCAGACTATACTGATCAGGAGGCCACCGCTGTCTGCGTCGAGGTCAGGACCAAGGTTACGGCCCCTGCCCAGTGCAGGCGGATCCACCTTGATGGGACATCTGGGTGGGTGCGGGATGAACTGAGCGCCTGCTCCCTCCTGCAGAGCCGGTGCACCTGCAAGCTGGGCTTTGCGGGGGACGGCTACACGTGTAGCCCCATCGACCCCTGCCGTGCCGGCAACGGTGGCTGCCACGACTTGGTGAGGGACCAGGGGACTGGGCAGGGTCTGGAGGGGCGGGGACAGCATCTGCACTCTGGGTGTCTGTATTGGGTCTCACTGGGATCTTTCCAAATCCCAAATCCCACCAGGTCACCCTGGTCCATAGGCTAGAGGTGTGATTCCTCTGCAAATCCAGCCCCCAGTCCCATGGGCCCCGTCCCTGCTCCTCTGTCACCCTGAGCTCCTCCTGCTCTCAGTTCAGCCCCTCCTGAAGGCCCAGATTCTCCCTCTCCTGGAAGTGCCCAGAGATTTGGGGGGGCAGGGCCAGGCATCCCCGGGGGTGACCTAACTGCATGCGGGGAGGGCGGGTGAAGACAGAGACCAGTAGGGTGCAGGTGCTGCCTCACGGACCACCAAGGTGCTGACTGCAGCTCATGTCCCCGCCAGGCCACCTGCCGGGCAGTAGGGGGCGGCCAGAGAGTCTGCAAATGTCCCCCCGGCTATGGCGGCGACGGCCTCAGCTGCTACGGGGACATCTTTCGGGTAAGTGGTCCCTCTCAGGCTCAGACACAGGAGAGTATGGTGGAGGGAGGCGGGCTTGGGGTCCTGGGGACAGGGGGTTTGGATTTGTCCCAAGACTTTGACCCCAGCCTTTGCCTTCCTTAGGAGCTGGAAGCAAACGCCCACTTCTCTGTCTTCTTCCAGTGGGTGAAGGTAGGATAGCGCAGGGCGCTGGATGCTCACAGCCTCTCTGAGAGCTGGGGTGGGGTATGAGCCTGGGGGTGCTGAGGGGGCGGGCAGCAGGCAGGTGCTGGCGGCTGGCGCTGCCTTCACCATCCCATCCCTTCTGTGCCCCGCAGAAGGCTGGTTTCACTCTTCCTGCCAACGGCAACTTCACAGTGCTGGTGCCCTCCGAGTCTGCCATCCGCAGGCTGAGCTCTGAGGACCAGGCCTTCTGGATGCAGCCCCGGCCACTGACCGAGCTGGTCAGGTGGGCAGCCAGGGGAACCTGGGAGGCACCGCTGGGAGAGATCCAGCCCCTCCCCAGAGGGGCTCAGGTTGGCCTGTGGGCACCTCTGGGGAAAGTGACAAAAACCGGTTTCCTGCCCCCTTATGGTGCCCCTCAGGGCCCATTTTCTCCAGGGTTCCCTGTCTGAGGAGGAGCTGGCCCAGCTGGGTGGGCAGGATGTGGCCACCCTGAACCCCACCATCCGGTGGGGGATCCGCAACATTAGTGGGGTACGTGGTGACCTTCATTTGTTCATTGATTATATCTGTCAGCTCTTCTATGGGACGCACTCAGCAGAGCTGGGGGGAGGGGGCAGGCCTGACAGTGGGGGCCTGTGCTGTGGCCCCCGTGGCTGGTCTCTGGTGCTGGTGAGGCGCTGATGCTTGAGCATCCCTGGTGGTTCTGGATCTACCTCGCAGCCTTGCACATGCTATGACTGAACTCTCTCCCATCCCTCTGTCTTGGGGGACATGCCTGGTGGTGTTCAGGGGCTACTTTCAGTGGGGGATATTCCTAGCAGTGCTTGGGAGACCACAAGGTAGTGCTGGTCCTCCAGCATGCAAAGCAAATGCTCCAGCTCTCCTGGACCGTGTCCTGACACCCCCCTACCCCCGCACAGTGATCTTTTAGCAGGCGAGGGGGCTGCACACAGGCTTCCAGACCAGGGTCTCCAGGGATGAACGCTGGGTCCTCTTGCCCTGCCCGGGCCAGCACTAGAGGGCGTGCCAGGCCCTTTTGCTGCTGGACTGGGTCTGCCTCAGCGGTGAGGGCCCAGCCCAGTTCTATTCTCTCCTGTCTAGTTTTTTGAGGCCCTGCACCTACTTGTAAGTGTCCCCTTGTGCCCAGATAGGTCTGCCTGTTGTCTTTTAGAGGGTCTGGGTGCAGAATGCCAGTGTGGCCGTGGCCGACCTCCTCGCCACCAACGGTGTCCTGCACATCCTCAGCCAGGTAGGGCAGGGAGGAGCAAGCAGGGCCTCTTGGGGCAGGCCTCCAAGGATCCGCTGACCAGCCCCTCACTGCCTGCAGGTCCTCCTCCCTCCCAGAGGGGACGTGCTGCCCAGGCAGGGCCTCCTGCAGATCCTGAAGTTGACACCCAGTTTCCACCTCTTTGGGGAGCTGCTGCAGGTAAGGGAATGGAGATGGGGGGGGGGTATGATCTGGAGCTGCTGCCCACTCCCCAGGGGCTGAGAACTGAAGGCAAGTGTGTCAACAGCGCCACGGGCTGGTGTCCCAGATTGATGCTGCCACAGCCTACACCATCTTCATACCCACCAACCACTCACTGGAAGCCCATGGCAACAGCAGCAGCCTGGTGAGGCAGGGGATGGGTGTGTGCATGTGTGCATGGGTGCTTGTGTGTTGTGTGTATGTGCATGTGCGTGCACCTGTGTGTGCGCATCTGTATGTATGTGTGTGTATGCCCCTGCTTGTGTGCACCTATATGCCTGTGCGCACATGTGTGTATGTCCATGTGCGTGCATCTGTGTGTGCATGCATCTGTGCGTGCGTGTGTGTATTCCCATGCTTGCGTGCATGTGTATGCCTGTGTGCACGTGTATGTGCATGCATGCGTGTGTGTGTGTGTGTGTGTGTGGTGGTGATGCAGAGGGGTCGGCATGGAGAGTGAGTCAAGCCCACTGAGAGCCCCAGGCTCGGGAGGGCGCCCTGCAGGGATACAGAGTGGACTGTCTCCCCAGGACGCGGACACTGTGCGCCAACACGTGATTCTGGGTGAGGCGCTGTCTACGGACACTCTGCGGAGGGGCGGCCATCGCAACTCCCTGCTGGGCCCCACACACTGGCTGGTCTTCTACAACCACAGCAACCAGGTTTGGGGGGACAGGGGAGCAGAGACCAGCCCCTCGTCCCTGCTCTTAAAGGTCCCTAGTCTTCAGAGCTCCTGCCCGGGAGCCCTCCACCTCTGCTCCACGGACCCCGTCCAGCCCCAAAGCGCCCCACCGCCCCTGAGGGGGAAGGCAGAGGGGGCCCGGTGACCTCTCTTCCTCCTCCCCGCCCTGCAGCCAGAGGTGAACCGTGTGCCCGTGGAAGGTCCCATAGTGGAGGCATCCGGCATTTCCCTGTACGGCATTTCCGGGGTCTTGACAGTGAGCTCAAGCCGCTGCCTGGAAAGAAGCCATGCTGAGGCCCTGAGGGTGAGAGTGGGGTGCCAGCCGGGCTGGGGGCAGTGGGGGCACGTAGGCACTTAGCTGTCAGCCCACACCAGAGAAAGGAAGGGTCTGACACACACCACCCACCCCCCTCCCCAGGAGAAATGTGTCAGCTGCTCCCGGAAGTTCCGCTGCACTCGGGGCTACCAGCTGGAGGTGAGGCTTGGCCGGTGCAGGCCTGGGCCAGGTGGGCCGGGAGGAAGGCCCAGAGGAGGCTCCTGCGTGGGGCCCAGACCTGGCTACGGGCTTCCTTGGTCTCCTCCTCAACTCTCTCCCTCGTTGACCTGCCTGACCCACTGACACCCGCAGTCCATCTGTCTGTCTCCTCACTCACTGCCCTGCCCACATCTGCCTCTGTTCCAGGAAACCCCCCGGAAGAGCTGTGTCTACCAGTCTGGCTACTCCTTCTCCCGGGGCTGTCTGTACACATGTACCAGGAAGATCAAGGTCTGCCCTGACGCCTCCTCTCCTGCTGGGCTGGAGAAGGGAGTGAGGTGGGGGGTCCAGTGGGGATCAGTCACATTTCAGGAGCAGACATGGGCTGGCCCTAGGGGAGCCCGAGGGGAGCGGTGATGGTCTGGGTTCCTGGAAGTGGGGGAAGGGCTCGGTGCTGCTCACTTTGGGGCCCGGCCCTTCTCTACTTGCTGCTGGGAGGAGTGTAGATGGTCATTCCTTGGGTCCAGCTAGCTTTGTGGTCCCCTTCCTCTCCCCCTGACATCTTACCTGGCCCGTGGGGGCCCTTCCCGTGCCCTTCCTGCAGGTGCCCGACTGCTGCCCAGGCTTCTTTGGCACGCTGTGTGAACCGTGCCCTGGGGGCCTCGGTGGCGTGTGCTCAGGCCATGGGCAGTGCCAGGACAGGTTCCTGGGCAGTGGGGAATGCCACTGCCATGAAGGCTTCCATGGGACCGCCTGTGAGATGTGCGAACTGGGCCGCTATGGGCCCAACTGCACTGGAGGTGAGGGCAGCCCCTGGGCCTGGTGTCCTGGCAGGGCTGGTGGCCAAGGTCCAGCAGGTGACTCCTGTCCTGCCTGTCCCCTTCCAGTGTGTCACTGTGCCCATGGGCTGTGCCAGGAGGGGCTGCAAGGGGATGGGAGCTGTGTGTGTGACGTGGGCTGGCAGGGCCTCCACTGTGACCAGAGTGAGTAGCCGCCGGGGTGGGGGTGTCTGGGAGGCGATGCAGGAGTGGGAACTGAAATCTGATGATGAACCATGCTCCTATCACCCAGAGATCACCAGCTCTCAGTGCCCTCAGTGTGACGTCAATGCCAAGTGAGTGCCTGTTAGGGGCAAGTGGGCAGGTGCGGAGTGGGGCAGACCCAGCTGACCTGCTGCTGTTCTCACTCCTAGCTGCATCCAGGACTCGGCTGCAGCCCCTACCTGTGTCTGTGCTGCAGGGTACTCGGGCAACGGCACCTTCTGCTCAGGTACGGCTAGGTGCCCCCCACCCCCAGGCCTTCTCCTGCTGTCCCCTTGGGTCCTCCCCCACTCTGACCTTTTCCTTTCTCATGAGTCTCCCCCCAAAAAATTCTGCTTCTTAAAACTCTCTGCGATTATCTTCCCCTAGAGGTGGACCCTTGTGCCCACAACCATGGCGGCTGCTCTCCCCATGCCAACTGCACCAAGGTGGCACCTGGCCAGCGGACATGTACCTGTCAGGACGGCTACTCGGGTGATGGGGAGCTGTGCCAGGGTGAGCATGGGACCCCGCCCCAGATGCTTGGGGTGCCAAGTCCAACTGGGAAGGAATGGCTAAGGGGCTCAAGAGGGCAGGGAGAATCAGGACAGGCACCTAACTGCACACTGGACAGAGATGGGGGGCTGCCCAGGATCTACCCCCTCAGCCCAGCGTCTCTGCCCTAGAGGTTAATGGCTGTCTCGTCCGCCACGGGGGCTGCCACGCACATGCAGTCTGCATCCCCACCGGGCCCCAGCAGGTGAGCACAGTGAGGGGGGCAGTGGGTTCTGGGCCATCCCCCCATTGCAGGCGGCCCCTTACACCAGGCCTGGAGAGGGGATGCTGGCCAGCACCTGGGCCCTAGCAGCACCCCCTGACCAGAACTTGGGACAGGTCTCCTGCAGCTGCCGTGACGGTTACAGCGGGGACGGCATCCGGGCCTGCGAGCTCCTGGACCCCTGCTCCCAGGTCAGGCCCCCAACCCTGTCCCACCCATATGGAGGTGGGGGGCAAAGGAGGGAGCCAGAAGCTCCCAGAGCCTCCCCACACCCCCAGTTCTGACTGAGGCATGGGACCTGGGATGTGGGGTGGGTGGGGACCTTCCCTAGGGCTGGTGGGAGCAGAGGCGAGGGGAAGCCTGACACCCAATCTCCAACCCCTATCCTGCCTCAGAGAAACGGGGGCTGCAGCCCCTATGCCGAGTGCAAGAGCACAGGGGACGGCCAGAGGACCTGCACCTGCAACCCGGCCCACTCTGTGGGGGATGGCTTCACCTGCCGAGCCCGCGTCAGCTTGGTAAGGGCGCCACCTGGCCCTCCCCTGGGTGCCGAACACCCTGGCCTCCATCAGACTCCCAGATTTCACCTTGATCCTGGTCCTGGCTGTGACCTCGAGCCTGACATCTGATTCTGTCTAGGTCTGACTCATGAGTTAGGATCCATTAATGCATCTTGAGCAAACAACCCCTCCCCTGTGGGCATTCCTTTCCCCAGCTCTGCCTTGGTCAGACATGGGCCATAAGTGGTAGGAGAGGCACCAGGTCCTGAACAGGGGGCACCCCAAATCTGAGATGACCTTCGGCCCCTGCAGGAACTCCTTCGGGACAGCCAAGCCTTGTTCTTCAGTCTTTACCTCTTGGTGAGTGATCATGGATCCCCCACTTCCTCCTGGTCGTCCAGGGCGGCTTAGACCTGCCTCTGGGTTCTGCCTCTGGGTTCTGTCTTCACCTGGAGGGCGGAGAGAGCTGTGTCTCAGACTGAGGTCTTGTCCAAAGGCCCTAGTAAGTCTGTGTGGGTGCCAGGTTGCCCACCCTCCCACTCCCATTTCCACTCAAGCTGTCGCCACCCACCCCCTAGGAATACAATGAGCTCAAGGGAGATGGACCTTTCACGATCTTTGTGCCCTACGCAGATCTACTGGCCAACCAGTCCCAGGTAACGCGGCGCCCGCCCCCGGGGGCCTAGGGAGGGACCTCCAGGGCTAGCAGAGGGAGCCCCCTCAACGCCCGCCTCTCCCGCCAGGATGAGCTGGCCCGCATTCGCGCCCAGCGCTCCCTTCTGTTCCGCTACCACGTGATTGGGTGCCGGCGGCTGCGGAGCCAGGAGCTGCTGCAGGAGGGCTATGCCACCACGCTCTCGGGGCACTCGCTGCGCTTCAGCGAGCGGGAGGTGAGCAGGCTGGCCCGCAGCGTCCCGCACGCCTGTGCCCTGCAATCTCCACGGCGGCGGGTGGGCTTTAAAGAGAGGTGGGAATTCCCACCCCCGCGGGCGGGCGTGTCCTAGAGCTAGGAGCGCGGAGGCTGGCGCGGGGCCTTGGCCCCGCCCACAAGGCCCCGCCCACAACACCCCACCAATCGGCTTCCTTCCACCCGGACCACGCCCCCACGCGCCCATGCCCCACCCCCAGGGCAGCATCTACATCAATGACTTCGCGCGCGTGGTGAACAGCGACCAGGAGGCGGTGAACGGCGTTCTGCACTTTATTGACCAAGTCCTGCTGCCGCCCGAGGCGCTACACTGGGAGCCCGGTGCGGCCCCCGTACCGAGGGTAATGACCTAGGCGCGGGTTCTGTGAGCTAAATGGCAGGCTTGGAGAGGACCTGGGTCTCTCCTCTCCCACCTGACCACAAAGCTCATGAGAACTTTTCTGCAGAGAAATGTCACCGCCGCTGCAGAAAGCTTTGGGTACAAGATCTTCAGCGGTCTTGTGAAGGTACCACCCCCGTGTGTGACCGTGTCTGTGTACCTGTCCCTGCCCAGACACCCGTGTGCTAACCCGTATTCCCCAGTGTGCCTACCTGTGCACTCACATGTGCGTGTAGACTTATGCATGCCCACTTCCCTACCAGTTGAGGTGGGTGCTGGCTGATTCCTGTGAGTATGCCCAGGTACAGATGCCCAGATGCCTGGGATGGCGTGACTGGTGGGAAGGGTCCCTGGAATCCTGGAGCTCTTTCTTGTGCTTGCAGTCCAGGCCCATAGCCCTGCTGATTGGTCTCGTGGGGGCTGTGACAGCCACACCTTTGCTCCTCCCCAACAGACAGCTGGCCTCCTGCCCCTGCTGCGTGATGGGTCCCACCGACCCCTCACAATGCTGTGGCCCACAGACGCAGCCCTGCGGGCGCTGCCACCAGATCGGCAAGCCTGGCTGTACCATGAGGACCACCGTGACAAGCTGGCAGCTATCCTGCGGGGTCATATAATCCGCAATGTCAAGGTGGGTGCACCTCTAGACCTTGGTCCCTGTGGTGCCACTGTGCCCGACTGCCCACCTCCAGCTGTGGTTTTATCTGTTCAGGCTTTGGCATCTGACCTGCCCAACCTGGGCTCCCTCCGCACTATGCATGGGACCCCTATTTCCTTCTCCTGCAGCCGTGCTCGGCCGGTGAGTTCAGGTTGCAGGCTTGAGGGAGAGAGGCGGGGTACATGAGTTGGGGGTCTTCAGAGCTCCATGGACCCCCCTCCACCTGCAGGGTGAGCTCCTCGTGGGAGAGGACGAAGCCCGCATTGTGCAGAGGTACATGCCCTTCGAGGGTGGACTGGCCTATGGCATTGATCAGCTGCTGGAACCTCCTGGTCTTGGCGCTCGTTGTGACCGCTTTGAGACTATGCTGCTGCGATTGGTGAGGGCAAGATGGGGCAGGACACAAACACTCCCCCCCTTCCCCGCTCTCTGAGCCTGCCGTGCCAGCTTCCCTGCCTCTCTTCCAGGTCTGCAGCATCTGTGGGCTGGAGCCACCATGTCCTGAGGGCTCCAAGGAGCAGGTAAGCAGCCTGGAGCTGGCTGTGAGGCCGGGGCAGGCCCCGTGTTTCCAGCTCAGACGTTTGCAGCCTGACTCCTCTTGGACTCCAGGGAAGCCCCGAGGCCTGCTGGCGCTACTACTCCAAGTTCTGGTCATCCCCGCCACTACATTCGCTTGGCCTGCGCAGTGCCTGGACTCGGCCCAGCTTCTGGGGCCAGCCTCAGAGTCTGGGCAGGGGCTGCCAGCGCAACTGTGTCACCACCAGCTGGAAGCCCAGCTGCTGCCCTGGCCACTACGGCAGTGAGTGTCGAGGTGAGTCCTGAGCAATGCTGTGTGCGCGTGCGCGCGCACACACACACACACACACACACACACACACACACACACACAGAGCGGGGGTCAGCTGGGAACAGCTGGGGATAGCTGGGGGCACCCCTCTGGCCAGTCTCAGAGAGTGTTTTCCCCTCAAATCAGGGGCAGGTTTGGCAAATGCCTTTTTCTGGAAGACATTGGCTTTTTGAGGTGTGTGTGTGTGTGTGTGTGTGTGTGTGTGTGTGTGTGTGTGACTTTTAAGGTGTGTGTGTGGGAGGGGGGAATGGTACATACATGAACTTGGGGCAGGACCTAGTAGGGGGTCTGGAGGGCCTCTAGGGCCCAAGGATCTGACCCATGGGGTATTGTCAGCTTCTGAAAGGCCCTGAGCGGGGGATACATGAGGGGTCCTGATAAGAGCCCCTGGCTTCTCATCTTGTCTTTCTGCCTCCCCTAGCTTGCCCAGGTGGTGCCAGCAGCCCCTGTAACGACCATGGTACGTGTCTGGATGGCATGAGCGGCAGTGGACAGTGCAGGTGCCATTCAGGGTTTGCGGGGACAGCATGTGAACTCTGTGCTCCGGGGTACTTTGGACCCCATTGCCAAGGTGAGTGGTGTAGCCCTCCCACCATGCCCGGCCATTGAGTGGGGTCAATTCTCTTGTTTCCTTGTGCTGATCCCATCCTCCTGCTTGTCCCCACCCCTACCCCAGCCTGCACCTGCACTGCCCACGGCCTCTGTGACGAGGGCCTTGGAGGCTCTGGCTCCTGCTTCTGCCTGGAAGGCTGGACAGGGCCACGCTGTGAGGTGCACCTGGGTGAGTGGCCCCAGTGCTTGTGCCTTATCTCAATGGCTGGGAGTGAGGGTGGGTGGGAGGAGGCCGGGGGACCACCTAGGACAGCAGCTACTAACCTCTGTGGGGGGTCTCGGGAGCAGAACTGAAGCCTGTGTGTACCCCACCCTGCGCACCCCAGGCTGTGTGCCGCACGGGCAATACCTGTGAGTGCAACCTGGGTTATGAAGGGGATGGCCACCAGTGCACAGGTGAGCAGGCAGGGGAATACCAGGGGCGACCCCCACCCTCTTCCTTTCATCTGGTCCCATGACTTTGTCTTGGCTTCCAGTGGCCAATCTGTGCCAGGATGGGAATGGTGGTTGCAGCCAGCATGCTACCTGCAGTCAGGAAGGGACTGTTGTCAACTGTACCTGCCTGGCGGACTATGAGGGTGACGGCTGGAGCTGCCGTGCCCGAGACCCCTGCGCAGATGGCCGGCGCGGGGGTTGCAGTGAGCATGCGGACTGCCTGAACACTGGCCCGGTGAGCAGGTGCAAGCCAGGAGGCAGTGTGGAGGGTCCACAGAGAAGATTTCCCAGTACCTGAAAGTGTGTGTCCCCCCCACCCCGTCTCCAGAACTCACGGCGCTGTGTGTGCCACGCTGGCTATGTGGGTGATGGGCTTGAATGCGTGGGGGAACCAGAGCCTCCTGTGGACCGCTGCCTGGACCAGCCACACCCCTGTCATGAGGACGCAGTGTGCACGGACCTGCACTTTCAGGGTGAGCTCCTGTTCCTGCTCCCTGGGGCCCCACTCTGCCTCACGGCCTCCCCGCCCCACCTCATCTTTCGGCTGTCCCTTGTGCAGAGAAGCGGGCTGGTGTCTTCCACCTCCAGGCTCCCACCGGCCCCTACGGCTTCAACTTCTCTGAGGCAGAGGCGGCTTGTGACGCCCAGGGAGCAGCCCTGGCTTCACTCCCTCAGCTCTCTGCTGCCCAGCAGGTGCGTGAGGCGGGGGACCTGGAAACCAGCCTGGGGCTGGAGGGTGGGGGCTCTCTGGTGGGGCCCGGGGTCTTAGCATCCCCTTCTGCCCTCCATAGCTGGGCTTCCATCAGTGCCTCGTGGGCTGGCTGGCTAACGGCTCGGCTGCCCACCCCGTCGTGTCCTCCGCGACCGATTGCGGTGACGGCCAGGTGGGCATCATCAGCCTGGGAACCCGTGAGAACCGCTCAGAGCGCTGGGATGCCTACTGCTACCGCCAGCAAGGTGTGCCGCCCAGGCCCCGCCCACCCGGGCCCCGCCCCGCCCACCCCACCAGGCCCCGCCCCTCCCGCCTCGCCCCATCCACCGCTTTTTCTGCAGATGTGTCCTGCCGGTGTCGCAGCGGCTTTGTAGGCGATGGGATCAGCTTCTGCAACGGGAAGCTGCTTGATGTGCTGTCTACCACGGCCAACTTCTCCACCTTCTATGGGGTGTGTGTCTGGTGGGGGAGGTTCCAGCCTCCAAGTGGGGGCGCACGCTAGGTGGGGTCCTTGTGGAGGGCCCGCCCACAGCCTTCTCCACACCCTCGCAGATGCTGCTGAGCTACGCCAACGCCACGCCACAGGGTCTTGCCTTCCTGGACTTCCTGGATGACGAGCTCACCTACAAGACGCTCTTCGTCCCGGTCAACAATGGCTTTGCAGACAACATGGTGACTAGCTGGGCTGCAGGTGGGCAGACTCATCTTCCATGGTGGGTCTAACCAACAGTGCCTGCTTTCACACAGACACTGAGTGGCCCAGACTTGGAGCTGCATGCCTCCAACGCCACCTTCCTCAGCGCCAACGCCAGCCAGGGGACCTCGCTTCCTGCCCACTCAGGCCTCAGCCTTGTGATCAGGGACTCAGACACCAACAGCAGCTCGGGGGTACCTCCAGTGAGTCTGGCTGCCGCTCCACCCCCACATCTAGCCGTGTCCTCACTGCCACTGGCACTACCACTACTCTCCCCACAGGCCCCAGGGACAGTGGTGGTGAGCCACATCATCGTGTGGGACATCATAGCCTTCAATGGCATAATTCATGCTCTGGCCAGCCCCCTCCTGGCACCCCTGCAGCCTGTGAGTTGGGGGCTTGGGGAGGAAGACACAGCACCACAGGGGCAGGGGACAACCCTAGCCACGTCCTGGACATCCTCTCTCTTTGCAGCGGGCCGTGGTGGCATCTGAGGGCCCTCCTGTGGCTGCAGGTGTGGGGGCTGTGTTGGCTGCCGGGGCCCTGGTGGGCTTGGCAGCTGGAGCCTTCTACCTCCGGGCCCGAGGCAAGACCACTGGGTTTGGTTTCTCCACCTTCCAGGTAGGATTTATGGGGTGAGGGAGACCTGAGTCCACAAATCTTGCTTAAAGCCCCTCACTATACCCCATTTCTCCCCAGGCGGAAGATGACGCTCAAGATGACTTCTCCCCGTGGCAGGAGGGGACCAGTCCCACCCTGGTCTCAGTCCCCAACCCTGTCTTTGGCAGCCACGATGCCTTTGGCGAGCCCTTTGATGTGAGTCAGGGTTAGGGGCATGACTGTATGGGCCCCGGGTATGGACCTGGCCCTGTCGCCAACCATGCCCCCCTGTAGGACTCACTCCTGGAGGACGACTTCCCTGACACCCAGAGGATCCTCGCGGTCAAGTGAGGCTGCTGGGCAGCGTGGCAGGCAGAGAGAGAGAGCACTTTTATTGCCTGTGTGGAATCGCCAGTGTGTGCGTGTGTGTGTACGTGTGTGTGTGTGTGTGTGTGCAGGGGGCGGGGTAACAATAAAGGCGCCCTCAGCGGATGTGGGCCATGTCACTGAGGAAGGGCGTCTTCATGCAGCCCGTGCAGAGCTGGTCCATCCAGAGTGGCGCCTCGTGCTGCAGGGGGGTGCGGCGTGGGTAGAAGGTGAAGTCCACGGGGTAGTGCAGCAGGCAGCTGGGCGAGGCCATGTAGAGGTCCGAGAAGCGCACGAGGCGCCGGGAAAAGTAGGTGGGGTTGTGGAAGGTGCGGAAGATGCTCCCGAACTGGGCGTTAAACAGGGCCTTGGTGACGCACCTGGGGAGGGAGAACCGGGCGCTCAGGGGGCGCTCAGGGGGCACTCAGCGGGCAGGGAGTGGGGGTGGGCTGCGATTCCCGCCCTACCCACCTCAACTCCTGCCGCTCCTTCATCCAGGTGGCCAGCACCTGCCGAGACTCCGCGTCCTGGTAGGTCTGGGGACACAGGGTGGGGTCCGTGTGGGCGTGCCTTTGGCCGCCCTGGGCCCCAGGGCCCCGACAGCTGCGAAGACGCCCGCCTACCTGCATGCGCTCCAGCAGCCCGGTGAGCGCCTGCTGCCAGGTCAGCGAGTGCATGTACTGCTCCGTGTTGATGATGCGGATCTCCCGCTCCAGCTCGGGGATGATGGCACCCGTGCGCCAGCCATGCCGCAGCATGAGGTCCTGTGGGCAGAGTCGCGGGGAGGCGGCTCGGGCTTCAGCAGCCGCGCGTGGGGAGCCCCGTCTGTGCTCCCGCAGCCCAGCCCTGTCTGCTCTGCTCACCGCTAGGTCGCTGTAGAGGTGGTCTCCGAAGTAGAGCACGCGGGGGCCGCGCCACTCCGTCAGGCGCAGGAAGTCGAACAGGTTTCCCTGGGGAGAGGTGGGGGCGCTGGGATGGAGCCAAGTGTGCCAAAGGGGCTCCGAGAGGGGGCCGAGCCCAGCCTGTTCCCCACCAGGCTTCCCAAGTCCCCAGAGGCGCCAGGCGCTCCAGCCGGATGCGGGGCTGCCCTTTCCCGTGGCCTTGCCGCTGCCTCCTCTGGCTTCTGGCCTCACGCCCTCCCCTCACACAGGAAGGGCTGCCTGCTGCAGAAGGAACCCTGCGGGCTGGGCACAGTCCCCTCACCCCGGGCCTCTCCTCCCTGTGCCCTCACACCCACCCGGGTTAGGTTGTGATGGAAAGTTCCCTGACTCAGTTCAGTTTTGGGGCCACACCCAGCAGCGCTCAGTAGCTCTTCCTGGCTCGGGGCACCCGGGACACTCCTGATGATGCTCAGACCATGCAGGAGTTTGGGCTGGGGCTCCCGAGTGCATACCACCCCTCTGCGCTATCTTCCTGACTCGGGTCTCCCAGTTTATGAGAAACAAATTGCAGCAGCATTACCCCCCCACCCCCCACCCCCGTCCTCAGCTTGTTCTTGGTTTCCCAAGGGTGCGTCCAGAGGGAGCCGCAGCCCACGGAAGCTCACTGGCTTTTCCTGCTCCAAAGCCAGAGAAGAGAGACTGAAAACACACCAGGCCCAAACTTAAACAGAGAAAGCCCACAGGGGAACAGAAATGGAGAGGCCCGAGTATGAAGCACCAGTGGCGGGCAGGAACCCCATCCCACAGTCGGGGCACAGATGCCAGCCAGGTGCTGTCAGAGTGGCCTTATGGGGGCCCAAAGGGAGAGAAAGGGCCCAGAGCAGGTGGCAGGAACAAGTTAATTGTCGAAACAAGCTCCAGTGGAGAGGGTGAGGAGCGGGGACCCCACAGAAGGGGGCAGAAAGAACGAGATGAACATGAAGGGTGTAGCCTGAAACAGCCTGGTGAGCCTGCATTTCTGCTGCTGCCAGGGCTGGCCTGTTCACAGCTCCTTTCTCAGGTCCAGGCTCCGAGCCTGGGAAGGGGCAGGAATCTCCTCACAAACATTTGAGCCACCTCGTATCAGCTCAGTTTGAGAATCCAAAAGTAGCATGTAGTGGGGGGAGTGATGGTACAGCGGGGAGGGCGCTTGCCTTGCGTGTGGCCGACCCTGGGTTGATCCCCGGCACCCCATATGGAACCCTGAGCAGCACCAGGAGTAATTCCCGAGGGCAGGCCCAGGAGAAGCCCTGAGCACTGCAGGGTGGGCAAAAACCAAACAGCAAAGAAACAAAGTGGTGGGGGCTGGAGTAATAGCACAGCGGGTAGGGCGTTTGCCTTGCACATGGCCGATCTGGGTTCTATTCCCAGCATCCTATATGGTCCCCTGAGCATCACCAGGGGTAATTCCTGAGTGCAGAGCCAGGAGGAACCCCTGTGTATTGCTGGGTGTGACCCCCAAAAAGGAAAAAAAAAGTGGTGAGTGTGGCAAACTTGACTATCTTCATGTCTGGTTCAGTAGACTCAGGGCCCCCTAGACTAGCAGCGCCAGGACCCCTCAGCCACTGAGGCCTGCGCCTCCTGCTGGGGCCACCCCAGGCCTCACCTGCCGGTAGATCTTGCCCTTCTCCAGGCGGGTGATGCGGTCCCACTGCAGAGAGCCCTTCTCATCCAGTTTCCGGAAAGGCCTGAAGTAGAGGTGCAGGGTTGGATTTCCGGTCTCAGGCAGAGGTTGGCTGCTTCACCCCCCACCCGACCCCCTACTTTGTAAAGGCCAGACCAGTACCCTCCCCCCACCCCGCCATGCTCCCCTCACCCACAGGCCCTTACTTGCGGCGGTCAGTGAAGAAACTGGGCTTGTCTGCCTGGACGATGACCACGTCAAAGAGCTGGCGCCAGTCTGGACCCACCATGTGTCGCATGCCCTTGTCCCTACAGGGGGCGGGGGGCACATCAGTCTCTCCTCGGCCCCCTGCCCTGCCCCCCGTCCCCAGGGCTCACACATACACGAAGCTGAAGGGACTGTTGGTGATGAGGAACAGTTGCTTCCCGTGGGTCACTAGGCGGCTAAGGACAGCGAAGGTCTCGTCCCCTCTCAGGATGTACTTCTCTACCGGGGAGAGGGGCCTGTGAGCACAAGCGGGGCACCCTCCAGCCCCTTGCGCCCATGCCTGTCCTTACCCATGTCCCGCTCGATCCACTGGTACATGAGGCCCTTTACATGCACGTCTCGAATGGCATCCTGGGGGGCAGTAGGGGGACAGTGAAGGTGCGGCAGGACCCCCTCCCCACCCCTGCCACCCCAGAGGCAGGCCCGGTGCCCTCACCGTCACATCCTTGTAGAGATGAGCTTGGTCGAACTCCAGGCCGTGACTCAGGAAATGGTCCACTACACAGGACAGCAGGGCCATCTCTGGCAGCGAAAAGATGTCCATGAACTGCTTGATGGAGGGGCCCTGGGGAGGGGGTTGGGGTCTGCGTGAGCCCTCTGGCTCGACTCCGAGCCCCAGGATCACCCTAGCCCCGGAGACCCAGGCAGGAGGGCAAGACCGTGGCTAGTCCATGGGGTCAGCGCCTGCTGTCAGGGAGCTGGCATTCTGTAGGTCACTGAGCAGGCTGCCCTGGGCACTGGCAGATGGAACGGTACCTTGCCATAGAAACCGCTCATCTGGTACAGCGGGACGTGCTGGGTGCCCCCGTAAAGGTCAATCACCTCCTCATCTGGCACGGGTTGGAGACCCCTGTATGGGCGCACAGACCCCGTCAGTTAAAGCACCAGGGGAGAGGGGGCAGGGTGGAGCCGGCACTGACCTGTATGCTGTGCCCAGCTGCACGTAGTGGTAGGCGTCGATCTTCATGAGAAGGCTCTGGGGGCACAGAGGGAGAGGCTGGGGTGAGGGGGGCCCCCCTGGGGTGGAGTGCTGAGGTATGTGCCCCCTCTGCAAGGTGGGCCCCACTCACCTTCTGAATGTCGTAGTGGAGACCTCGGATGGCAAAGGTGGGGTCGTACTCATATTTCCGAATTCCTTCCGGGTACTGTGGGGGTGGGGAAAGTTGGGGGCAGGGCAAGTCTGCATCAGAGGCACTGCCAGCCCACTGGCTGGGCAGTCACCTCCAGAGATACACATGCCCACAGCCCTAGGGGAGACTGAGACTTGGCCCACCTTATAGTTCTCTATCAGGATGTCCCGGGCGGCGTTGAAGATCTCGGGGTGCAGCGCGTCTGCGTACTGGGCCAGGGTATAGTCGTAGTCAAAGCCGTAGACCTCGACGTCCCGCAGGCTGATCTCGTTGTTGGCGTAGATGGCGGCGGGGTTGAGGAGGCTGCAGACCTCGGGCGGCAGCAGGTCTAGAGCAGGGCAGAAACAGGATGAGGATGAGGGCGGCTGCAAACGGTTCCCAGGACCGAACAGCCCGAGTGTCAGCTCCGAGCCCACTGCTGCCAACGGGCCGACTGAGGCTCTGGGGCCTGTGCTGGTGTCGGCCGGGTCTTGGAGCTCGGCCCCCAGCTCTGCCCTCTCGGCCCCTTCCCAGCTGTCTCGAACTGGGCTTGTCAGGGAGCAGCCGGGCACCTGCGAGGCCTGTGCAGTGAGGCCCCTCTAATCGGACTGCAGCAGCTGCCAGCCCGCATGACACCCACGGAGAGAACATTGCTAATGACAGCTGGCGGGCCATGTGGCGTCTGAGCAGCGGTTCCAGACACCCAAAGTCTGATCATCCCTCAGGGGCCCAGCGGGGAGTCTGGGCGAGCTAGTAGGAACAGTGGGTGTGTGATGAGACTGAGGGGCGCTGGGGGAGCTGGAGGGAGAGGGCAGGGCCTCGGAAGACACCAGACCAAGCCTCCCTCTCACACTGCTGAGCACGGGCTGTGTGCAGCACCCCTCTCTGTGGGGTGACCCCAGGACCAGCCCCCCATCCCCCATCTTCTTGTCCCCCTGCCCCACTTAAGGAGCAGAGATGCGGTGGGCAGGGAAGCAGAGGCGCAGGAAGATGGAGGTGCACCCGGCGCTCCCCTTCCTGCAGCTGAGCCCCTCACCCTCTGGGGTCACGTGTCCCAGAGAAGCCCTTGGGCATCAGCAGCCCTGCTCTAAAGAGGCCCTTTTAAAACACAGCCCCCTCCCAGGCGCCCCCTTAGCTCTGCATCTCTTAGCTCCTCTCCTTCAAGTCAAATGCAGGGTGTGGGCGTGGATATGGGTACAGAAGGTCCTTCAGGAGCCC